TTTTTCATTTTTATGAGTAAAATTTAAACGCCAGCCAGCACACTTGCATGTACTTTGTAAGCAGATTCACTTTTTTGTATAAAGTAAAAATGGTTACTATGGTGTTGCTCATATTTTGTATCTTTAACACAACTTGCATGAGAAAGAGGATGCTACTGTTAGCATCCGTGGCTTGCTTTTATGATATTGGGCCAGTATAGTCAAGTTTTTATTACCTTGTTCAGTTCCTTCCCCATTTCATCAGTTAGCAGAAATGAAATTCTTTTTGTAAGCTGCTAAAGATTGTATATTTAAAAACTGTTAAGACCTCAGTTTACAAGACAGTCTTGTTTAAAAATGTTTTCTTGTGGTAATCTTCAGTTTGATACCAATACGAGCACAAGGAGTTAGGTCTGACAGAGGCAGCTTTTAGGTATTTTACGCATGATCTGAAATAGTTCATGCAGATCACAGAATTATATTCTGTAGTTTTAAACAGCCTAAAATGTCATGATGTGTGAATTACATGTAATGAATACAAAGGAAGTAATTTTAACTTCTTCCCTTGTACCCAGGAATGGTAGTTCTCCGATTTAAGAAATGTGACTGTAGTGAAGTACAAGCCACTTCTCAGATCAATTTTGGTGAACGGTGAAAGCTTTTAATAGTTTTTGTCAAAATCGTTACATTTCTGTTTGGAATGCACTTGACACCTCTCTCCCTTTTACTTTTGCAAGGTAAAGCCGTCCATAAAGTGAACTGCTACCTAAGCTTTAACTCTCGAAGTTCAGGCAGTCTCTTGTGAAGCAATATTCTGACTTGTAAAGTTCTGAAATGCTGCACAAAGCAAATGAATCTGCAAGTGATAACTGGCTCTGTAATGTCATGTGAAATTTCCACAGTGTTAATTTGTGGTTTTTGGAATGTTATGACTTTTTTTGTTTGTTTTAAGTTTCACAAAAATTTTCCATTTGGTAATGTTCGAGTGCCAAGAAATGAACTTGATTTGTAATCATTAATGCAAGTCTTTAAAAATCCATGCTGTAACAATCCTGTTATTAAATAAACAGATAAAACACAAAATTAATTATCCCAGAAATAAAGTTTTGAACTGACTTGTAGTTCAGGTGGAAGGACATCTATGCTCGTAAAGGAATGTAAGTACCTAGATTTGTACAGCCTTATGTATGTTTGCACTTGCCCTCATGCAATTCTACAGTTAGTTCCTATGTAGTTGCGTAACAGTATAGACAGGCTGCTAGTGGCTATTAATGGTTTTTCAACAATCTGCAGCTGGAAATTGAACAAAAGTACTTAAAATGCTACTGTTACTGCCACCATTAAAAGACGTTATGGGAAAACAATGGAAGAAAGCCTAATGATGGCAGCAACTGAAAAATTCCCAGATTAGACTCATGGTTTACAAATGTCTTCTAGTTGACCTCCTTTCATTTAAGCTCAAAATACTTTTGTCATCAATGCACAAATTTCAGCTAACTTAAAATACCTTCCTATCCAGTGAAACACACAGTCGCGGGGGAGAAAAATCACTATAACTAAATTTAGCTTAATAAATGTTTGACATTAATACCTGACCTATGTGTGGTACTACTGTAAATAAAGCATATCCCCATGTGAACAGTTTGTCAATAAAATTACTTGGTTTCTTTAGTAGTCAGTTTCAAATTCACTTACTGGACTAGATGGCTGAGGCGGGTGTTTGTGTGCTTCAAAGTGTATCCTGAAGGAAACATAACAAAACTTGCATAGAACTTGCCTTTTCTCTGTGCTTCATGGAGGATTGTCTTGGAAGGATGCCAGATTGGATATGGCAAAATCAGGTCCCTGCTCTAGGGAACACAGGAGGGGAAGCAATTTGCCAGTCTGTTGTGCTTCTGTTGGTAACCTGAATTATCTTGAGTAGTACTCCTTTTTTTTCCCCAGTTAAGTCCTTTATCTATGAGATCAATTGCTAGCTAGTGTTTTCTGTAGATACTGAAGATCTCAAATCCATCTACTTTTTAACTTGTTGCTAGTTAAACTCTGTGCTCTGAGGTGAGAGCTAGATGATTAATACTTCAAAGTTTAAGAGAAAAACAAAGTAGAACACCTCAATATGGTTTTATGCTCAGTGACACTGTTTAAACTAGTGAGGTTGTGTTCCTGTTCCACCCTTTAAGTTCACGTGCTGCACACCTTTTCACCTTTTACCTCTTCATTGCTAGCTCCCACGATGTTAAATCTGAGTCCTCCAGTTTTTGCTGTCCCCAGATGCTGTAAAAGTAATCTGGCCCAAATAATTACTGCACTTCCAAATCACACCTTTGTAGACATATTTTTAGTTACTGCTGGTTTACATTTGGACGAGCTATGTCTCTGATTACCTGAACATACCTGTTTTGCAGTATATGAGAAATGAGGCCAAGCTTAGGAGGAATACTCAAAGGTTTTTTTGTCATCCTTGATTCTTAGCCTGTGTTCAAGCGCTCAGTTGTGATACCTTGTGCAGTCATGAAAAGTAGTGCTTGTGTCCAGCTGTTCCTGTGGAAAGAGTCAGGGAAGGGCTAGGAGTGGTTCAAAAGGAAGCACAGACTAAATTTCTAGGAGTTTTTGGATCTTATTAAAAAATGTGTATGCAAAGGATTTAATTCCCTTTTTTATTTTGTATTTGTAAAAAAATAACATCCCTTTAATACTTGAGCAAAGTGCATACTAATGCTTTTTTAAAAACAAGATTAATTTGTGGATATATGTGCATCATTTGAGGATGAAGGAAAAAAGGCAGGATCAGATATGAAACATCACTTAACTCTGTTCCTATGAGTTTATTTCCTGCAACCAGAAAGTAACTGTAAAATCTGATCTGTTGTATTTATCTTGTGGCTAACACGGGTGTGTACTGATGTATTTTGTTCCCAGGTGCATGTTTCTGTATTGCTCTAGTGCTTCTGCCATTTAAGGAAGAAGGCAGCTATATTAAGTCAATGAACTTAACTTTCCCTTCCCTTCTTCTACCCTTTTCATGTCAAAACTGATTTTTCCTTCATAGGCTTGCTCTAGGATTGTGCTGATCTTTACTGCAACTTGTTGGCAAAGAAACAAGCAACACAAACTGGTCCTGAAAGCTAACAGGTTATGTAGAGCTTTTTTAAGGTAGGAATGACTCAACTACTTTTTATTTTTCATTAAAAATTAGGGTAAAGATACTTCATTATCAGGCAGGTAAGTGGGATTTAGAAACTGAAATTAATGCTAGTAACTTCATGTAGTGAGCTACTGAAAGTGCTACCATATTACAGTTTAATAATCCAGAGAAATTGTGATGTCTAAGCAGCAAGCCACTATAGTTTATTGCTGCTGAAATCTTGATTGACAGTGCAAAGAATACCAACATTCAGTTGATCACCCTCAAGTTAAAAAAAACCAACCCACCTCAAGAAAATAGAAACTCCCCACCCAACTATAGAATATCTGAGTTCTTGAGACTTACTAACATCTCCCTGCTCTTCTCGTAGGTTGGGTCATTTCAAAACAGCTGAAATGTAAGAGATGGTGATGAATTACCACATTCCTGTAGCTAAGATTAAGGCCTCTCCCCTTGTGGCTGCTGTGACTGCAAAACTATGTGGTCTAGGAATTTCACGGGTGAGGAGGTGATTCTCCCTGGTCTAAGAGTGAGGATTACCCTAAACCTTCAAAACAACACTGCAAGCCCACACCCAAAGCAATCAATCACCTCATGAATCACACTGAGGGTTTCTTATGTGTTTGCACTGAGAATCACTTAATAAAAAGATTCTGAGCCACTCGGTTACATCCAAGTCATTCAAATACAGGTTTGTACTACGAATAGTCTTGGTAACCACATGTGAGTTGTGTTGTTCAGGTGGCCTAGCTCTTAAGTGCTGTGGCACCTATATTGTCTAAATAACCCAATCCCAAACCCCACCATGGGAGGGGACTTTAGCAAGGGGGTTTACTCTGTGCTTATTGGATTCCTGGTGTGTAGGCAGCTGGTGGCTAGTAATAAAAAAAGGGGTGGTATTTCAGGTAAATAAAACAATACTAGCTTGATATTGCTCTTCTGCCAACTCTTGAAGTACATTCTCACTTTCATACTATCTCTGCAAGAAAATGAGGAAACTGTGCTCCCAAATGTTGTCTAATCCATAAGCAGTAGGATCACTTTCTGCACTTTCAAGAAATGCCACTTTTGCATATTCACCCTATCTGAAAGATCCAACTTCTTTATGTGCAAAAGCACAATAGTTTCCCTCTTGTGTTTCCTGGTCCAGGTACCTTTGTGCTGCTGCTATTCATCCACAACTCCTAGGCATCTAAAATGGAAAAAGCTTTCATGTCCATGCTTCAAGTCTTCTGGTATAATATACTATCTTGCAACTGACTGTAGAGCCCACAGAACTAAGTGCCAGAATATATCTGCAACAAAGATTGCAGATAGCACAGATGCATCCACAGAATGAGCGTCACCCGCATTCTAAGTCACAGTACAAAGAAGACATAAAATAGATTCATCAGGTGGATTTAAAATTTGAAAGGCTCTATATTTATGTAACATGCCCCCCCACCCCATAACTAAAAAGAAGCTTACATATTAGGGCTTAATTATTTTACTCATTTATTGTCCGTCTTTTTTGCAGCTTCCTTTGAACCAAACCTATTCAGAAAAAAAATGTTGATCGCTGGTTGGTTGTCCTTACCCACTTACACAGGTTTCACTGTTAGGATGAAGTCAAACCGGAGAGCAGTTTGATTCTTAAGTCATTCTCTGTAGGAAGTACTGGTTTTGACTATGCTTTTGCTCATCTTGCTGTGCATTATGCGGTACAGTACCTGGCCACTGTTCTTCTGAAACAGAGAAGACTGTTAAAGGAGAGGAAAAGCATCTCCATCTTTGGACTTGGAAATTAATCTTTTCATCTTCTTGTGCATATCCTCTTACAAATGGTGCTTTGAATAAGGCAGAGTATCTAAAAAATCTCTTCAGTGGTATAACTTAACTGCCTTTATTTGAATTCTGCTGGTATATTTTCAGAATGGTACTACAATACCGGGCAGTCTGAGAGCTGCATAGCATTGAACAGTACAGATCCATCTTCAAGCAATAAACTTGAAATGATACGTTGTTTTATGGAGTCATTCTGTTTTCACAACTGCAGCCATTTTATAATGTAGTAATTTTTCTTTCCAATCCTAAGCAATGATACTCCATTTTTGAGAATATGCTGTCCGAGAATAAGAACAGTCTCAGGATTAGTTACTCGAATCCCATTTATTGAAACTCCACCAGCTGTAATTTTCTGGTACCTTAAAAGAAACAAACAAAAAATCAAACCTAATAACTAGTAATTGCAAGAAGTGGCTATTTATTGCTGTTAAGTAGTTTAAGTTCAGTTAAGGTGGGTTGTTCTTTTCTTTCTGGATCCATAATTGAATAGATTTTAATTCTTTTGCACTTTACTTTCAGTCTAGGTCAAGAGTGAGTAAGATTAACCTTAGCCTCTACGACTCACATTCTTCCCAAGAGGTATAAGGAAACTTAGGCTGTTGCCTTAGACTGTCCCTTTATCACATGTAGATTTTACACAAGAACAGCCCAATCAAATAGAAACAGGCTAGCTATCTACATACCAGCATTAAAAAAGAGGGGAGAAGGTGAACTCATTCAATTTTGAGATGAAAGTGTAGGGTAATGCAGTCTCATTTTTGAGTTGTCCTAACTGGGCAACTTTGGAAAGCATAGCACTACAACTTGTTTACACGAGGTATTGCCAAAGAACACAGGTGATAACATACCCACTAGGTCCATCTAGAATGGCATTTGCTTTGCGACATAAGTCAAGAACATTCATTCCAGGTTCAAGCATCAATTCAACTGAAGGAGCTTGTCTAAAAAGTTCCTGTAACTCTTGGTCAGACATAGCTTCCAGTGCCTCCACACTGCTGTAATAAAGGGCCTTAGTACACCTGTGAGAACAAAGATCATTCAAAATGCAGTGCTAATCTCATCTTCACACAAAGTACTGCTCATCAGATTCCCCTCCCCATCTTCTCCTGATGGGCGACATAGTAACAGAAATACTTTTAATTGCTACCCGCTGAACTGCAATTTTTAAAATATTGTCCATGTGTTTTTAAGTCTACAGAATTACTACACTTTTTTTCTTCTAACAGCTGAGCGACAATTAACTACATGAAAATAGTCCCTGAAAAGCTACAGGTAACTATCATTGAATAAATCTGAAAGAAAACTGCTTGACAAATCAAACTTCACCTCTTGGCAGATTCTAGCCCCTCTCTACCATGAACAAATTTGGTAACTTCTGCAGCAAGTCGTTTCTGAGGGCCCCACTTTTCAGGTTCTTTAGCATGCATTTCCATGATGTGGTCAATCTCCTCAAGAGGAAGGAAGGTGAAGAGTTTCAGGTATCTATGAGCAGAGAGGAAAAAAAATAATCTACATAGCCATCATTACAGATTTCCTGCCTTTGTCATTCAAACTTCATTAACTACATTAAAATGACTCTTAAGTCAGTTTAAGAAATCTGTATTACGGATACTCTGTCCTTTCGAACAACTCTTTTGGTTTTATCCACATGCTTCAGCTTACCAGGATAACTGATATTTTATTAAATATTCTGCTTAGGGTAATGTCTTCAGACGTAAGATAGTGTGAGATGCTTTTATGAAGCTTGTACTGCAATCAAAAACTGCATTTTCTCTTGAAATATTTACAGGATTTATTGCCACTGTGTGTCAACTAACAAGGCATACTCTTAGTAGCTGCACAATACACTAACAGGAAATACCACTGCCAGTCTGTGGTGGTCATGGGACAGAAGTATGCTATGCATGAGTATCTCAGAAAGTCTCCTGGTTTGAGCTAAACAGAACCAGTTCTGTCAAGTGATTTTTACTTCTCAGCTGCACTTCCTGAAATGAGCAGCATGTTTTTGCAGACAGTGCCTGCTATTAGCAGTTATAACACCTGATGCTCACAGGTACTGCCTGGGACTGGGATGCAGAAAGGCTTTTGTTGATACTTATCGCTATAGTGACCAAGGCCACTGCTGGCGCTTGTGTGCCACACTGGGGGTGCTGGGAAGTAAGAGGGGTCACAAGGAAGTAAAACGTTGCACCTCCAGTGAGTTACAAACAGGACAAGTGATCAACAAGAGTATTCTATTCCATATATGTCATATTCAGTATAAAACTGAGGGATTATGAGGGTTTAGGTCATCTTCCTCTCTCTTTTTCTGCAATGGCTGGCATCCAGGGAGGACTCTGTCTGATCTTCTGCCTTTGATACCGATACTGAGTTCCCGGATCCGGCTCCCTGCTGCTGCTGAGCCTGGGGCTTCCCCAGTGCTACCTGCTCTGCAGTATCAGTGGGGATTGCTAGCAGGGGGAGGGGGGAGGAGTCAGGTTCGATATTGCATTTGTGTGTGTGTATGTATATATATATATATTTTACTATTTTAATTATTTCATTTGTTAAAACTGTCTTTTTTTTTTCCCAATCTGTAAATCTCTCTGCTTCATTCCCTTTTTCTTCCCCTTTGTGGAGGGAGAGGGGTTTAGAGAGTCTCTGTCCACATTTAGTGGCCAGCCAAGATTATTTAGTGGACAGCAAGATTATTTAGGATAATGAAGTGTATCTGGATCCCTCATACTAAATAAAAGCCTGTGGTAATTAATATCTATTAAACTGCAGTTGCTCACCAATCAGCAGGAGAAATTTCATTCAATACTGTGATGTTACGGTACTGAAACTAACATACCTCATAAGATAAAGTCACGCCACCGGCAGAACAAAATGCATTACTTGTGTGTTCATCCACATTCTAATTTTATGATGCATATTCCAGGTTCCGCTATCCTGTGTACTCAGGAACCAGTCATGCCCGTTTATTTAATGAACATACAGTTATAATTAACGTATACTTCTACATGGAGCTTGGGTTGCACATATTCAAGTGGAACAGAGACAACAGTTAGGATCACATTTTATAAACAATGACAAAAGGCAAGCTGAATTAAAATGACTTACTTTTCAACTATGTTATCTTGTTGTCTGACAAAAAACTGATAGAGCTCAAATGGAGAAGTCTTGTCTCTGTTTAGCCAAACTGCATTGCCAGCAGTCTTTCCCAGCTTATCTCCAGTTGTACTGGTTATAAGCGGTACGGTAATTCCAAACACATCTGTCCCTGTCATCCTGAGAAAGAGAAGTCACTGCATTTTAAAAAAATAAATCAATTATAGTATCATATCTTGGTAAAGCTGACTAAAATACAAGCATTCTATAAGATTCTATCCTTGATATAAAGTACTTAAATGAGACAGGGGTCAAGGGGCAAAAGATGCCAGACACTATTTTTTAAGAGTGCTTTGGAAAAAATCAAACCCCTGAACTTAAAAACTTAAGTTTTGTTGTGCGCAACAAAGAACTGCACATACTTTAAATAAGTAGTTTCAGGAGCAACAGCACTAGCAAATTCAAGTGCCTTGTATGTTTTGTCTTCTGCTCTGAGCGCTACAAGCTGCTTGTGTGGCTGGGACACTTGTAAGTCTTCTGTGCTGATTCTCTAATAGTCATCTAATAGTCAAGCACATACTGAAGTAGAAGTATTGCCATGTTCTCGCTGATTTGCTTGTGTACTTCTGTGAATTTTGTAAGCCTCACACCAAATTTGCTGGCTAAGCAAAAGCTTATCATCATTAGGTTTCATTTCTTCTCCCGGAAACGAAACAAAACCTGATGATTTCATTCAGGTTTCACTCACCTGATGAAATGATCAGGTTTCGTTTTATTTCCGGCAGAAGAAACAAAACTATCTTTACCACAACTGTCTCCACTTGGTTGTGATTACACTAGAACATGTTTGCCAGCAGGCCCGCCTTGGTTTTGTCCCACGTTTCAGGATACTTAATTTTGTTTCCTGGATTCACTAATAAAAGAACCCATCCAGGGTAGATTTAGACTCATAAGAAATCTTTTAACACTAGGGTGGTGAAACACTGGAACAGGTTGCCCAGGGAGATGGAAGAAGCCCCATCCCTGGGAACATCCACGGTCAGGTTAGTCAGGGCTCTGAGCAACATGATCTAGTTGAAGATGTCCCTGCTGGCTGCAGGGCAGTTGGACTGGTCTTTTTGCCTGACAGAAAGGGACCTGGGGGTGCTGGTACACAGCACCTGTGGACTAGAGGCAATTGTTCCACTGTACTCGGCACTGGTGAGGCCACATCTCGAGTACTGCATTCAATTTTGGGGACCACAGTATCAGAAAAACACTAAGGTGCTGGAGAGGGTCCAGAGAAGGGTGACAAAACTGGTGAAGGGTCTCAAGAACAAGTCTTGCGAGTAATGGCTAAGTGACTTGGGGTTGTTTAGTCTGAAGAGGAGGAGGCTGAGGGGAGACCTTGCTGCTCTCTGAAGGGAGGTTGTAGAGAGGTGAGTGTTGGTCTCCTCACAAATTACAATTAATAGGACAGGAGGAAATTGCCTCAAATTGCTCCATGGGAGGTTTAGGTTAGACATTAAGAAAAACTTCTACACTGAAGGGGTTCTCAAATACTTGAATGGGCTGCTCAGGGAAGTGCTTTATCACCATTCTTGGATGTATGTAAAAGCCAGCTAGATATGGTGCTCAGGGGCATGGCACAGCCAAGGCTGGGCTGTGTGCAGGCTCATCTGAGCTTCAGCTATTTTAGTCGTCCTGGAGGACTTCAGTAATATGGCTGTCCTTGATCTTGAAGGTTTTTTCCTACCACAATGATTCTGTGGTTCTAGATGGCCTGTAAAGGTCCCCTCCCACCCAAAACATTCTACAATTTCATGGAAAAGGCTCAAAACCAGGGCCAAAACAGGCCAGGCTCATGGTCAGGACAATCAGTTCTTCTCAAGCCCCACACTTCTGTGTAATGCCAACTCTCCCAAGGGCGACTGCTGCTCCCGGGTCCTTTAGGGGCTGTCCACCACGAAGCTGCCCAGCCAGCCTCAGGACACG